TTCAGATCTTCCATTATAGAGACTCTGTTTTGTTCTGAGTCACCTAAACACCCCAGATCTGTTTGAATGATGGGTCAAGTGTTTATGGGAGTTATCATAAGATGCTTTTATGGCTGTGTTATTAGAAAGGCTGACATGCTGAGGATTCACGGAGACCAGTATTCAAGGTGCACTGGAATGATAAAAAATATTAGTAGACATAATTTGTTATATCTGTGTTTGGTTTGATTATTGTCTTGTGTTTGAAATCCTGTAATTAGGGCAGCGAACTGCCTCCAGAGCCAGTACTGCTTCAGGTAATACAACACTAGGACGAGTTCCTTTGACTTCAGTAGGTGATTCTTTACAAAGAATGAAGGCTGGAGCCCATGTAAATTAAACATCACCTCTGGGCAGCTGAAGATCACAGAGAGAGCAGGGAAATACTGAGGGTCATCTCTCCCTGTTGAATAACTGAATTAGAAGTATAGATCCCTGGGAATGGGCAGCACCTTGACTTGCTCGATCCCCTCCCCCACTAGATGGCACTGAATTCTCTTTCTTTAAACGGAAAAAAAAAAAAAAAAAAAAAAAAAAAAAGAAAGGAAAAAAAGAAGAAAAATATGGTGGAGGTCATTTTGATGTAGAAAATACCCCCAAAAACCAAACCAAAAGACCCCCCCAAGAAGCCGACGAAGAAAAGCAAATTGCAATTGGTTGTGCATTTACTCAGTCCATTTACTCTGCCTTTCCCCCTCCTAGCCCCAGACCCCACCTGTGTACCTTTGTACAGGCGCTCGCTTTGCTTTTGTGTCTGGAGCTCTCTGGAGAGGCGCTGGTCGCTGGAGGATGCTCGGGAGGGCGGAGACGATGCTGGGCGGGAATGGAGAGGGGAGCGGCCCTGGCTGTAGGACCCGGTCCGCAGGGAGCTCTGGCAGGCAGCGCGGCTCGGCACAAGGAATCGCCTCTGAACGGACTCACCGGGCTGCGCTGCTCTGTCCCGTGCCTTCAGACATGTTTTCCTGTGCTCTCTGGCTTTCTCTGTGGATCACTGAAATCGTAACCCGCAGAAAAGAAAGCCTCAGCTTTCATTCCGTCGCTGAAACTGTATTTTCACCCCCTGATTAATTTAAGAGCCATGAATTAGCTCCCTGTGCTGAGATGTCCTTAATTCACTGTCGGGAGCAGTTTCCATGTCGTGTGCCGAAGTGTGTGTGGAGGGATTGTGGGTTTTTTCAATTTATTTTTTTAAAATGTCTTTCTCCCAGCTTACATTCATTGGAAGATCAACAAGGATTGATTTTTTTTTTTTCCCCCTGTGGTGAGGCGGGGGTGGGATGGGAGAAAGAAAATTTAATAATAATCTGTTTGTGCTGAGAAGGGGCTGTCTGTAACAATCCTGGTTAGAGACATAGTGAAGGTTCCTAATGCCTGCAGCAAGCAATATTCTTCCCTCCTGAAAAAAGGGAATAGTGATGATGATGAAGGGGAAAAATGTTTAATTCTAAGAGTTAAAGAGGGGCTAAATTGCAACACTTTCTTTTACAGTTATATGTTTAAGGTGACTTGCAGAAAGATATAGATTGCATCTGATAAAGCTACAAATGCAAGCCAAAAAAAAAAAAAAAAAAAAAGCATAGAAACTGCCAGTAAAATGCCTTTTCAGAGAAAAAGATAAAATCTGGAACTGAATGCCAATTTTTGGCTTTCAAACCCAGGCTTAAGAATGAGAAGAGGGAATGAATCTGCCTTCTCCAGGTACAAAAGTCCTCCTGCCCCAAACTGTCTTGCTGTCTTGGAGTGTGATGGAAAAACCTGGCACCTGGACCTCTCTGGGTCTGACCAAATCTTGTCTCTGTGGACTGTAATCCTAATGTTTAACAAGAAGGAAATGTCTGTGTGATTCCATTATATGATTTTCCCATCCTCTTACATATCTTTGGCCAGCATCATGAGAAAAAACAGTCCTAGTAGCTGGGTCCTCCATTCTGCTCTTAGTCCCAGTCTTCCAGTCTGTCTAAACTGGATGTTTAGACAAAAACCTGTTTTGTTTTCCAGTTCAATCTAAATAGAGAATAAACATAGCAGGCTCTTGTGCTTGAACAGAAAATCCAACAATCAGCCAAAAAATATGGTTGGTAAAATTAGGCCTGTTCCCTGTTCTCATCTTTCAGCTTGGGACTTGATGCTAAAAATTGACAAAGAAATCCAGGTGCATTTCCATCTCTGTGTGGGTGTGATACAAGAAACCTCGATGTTCGTCATCTTCTTAGAGGAGCCAACAGATTTTCGGCCACAAAACTCTAAATTTTATCTCTGAACAGACAACAAGTATGGCTGCTCCAGGCCCACTGTAACATCTAATTCTTTTTATCTACTGACATGTAGTTACTTGAAAAATCCAGTTATAGAAGTAGATCCATCTGTGCTGAACTATTTTTAAAAAAACCTGAGATCCTTAAATATTGCCTGTTATTATTAACAACAAAGGGAAGCTACTGCTGAAAAAATTAAACTAGTCCCTTTTTTCAGTAAAACTCTTAAATTTACCTAGACCTTTCCAGATACAGTGAATATGCATAACATAACACTAAAATTTTGCAATACACCTGGTTCAGTAGATGCAGATGATAATAACTTTTATGGTTTGGATGATTTTCTTTGCCAGTTTCATAATCCTGCAAGGTGGTTAGAGAATACAGTATATTTCACACCAAAAATGGTTCAATGACACAGATACTCTTCCATAGCTGCAATCCCAGTTGATATGGACCCTGATTGCTGCCAGGTAAAATGGGAGATACTTCGATTTTTTCTATAATACAGTTTGGTTTGGTGCCAGAAATTGTTATGGTCCAGCCATATGGGTTATTTTTTTCCTGATGCAGCTGTATTGCACCAGACAATCCAGGTATGTATTTCTGATATAAAAAAGAGCTACCACATCTTCTCTCCCCATTTGAGCAAGTATAATTTTTGTGGCTAGCGTTACAAGCTAGCAACATCCCAGGCTCCCCTCTTGGGGCCAAGAGCTGTCACCAGCCCCAGAAAGACTGTGTTTATTTTCAATTCAGATTACACAACTTGGGATTCAGGGGCCAAAAGCTGGTAGGATCCAGCATGGATGTAGATTTTTGCAGCATACATCTGTGGAGAGGCATTGGGCTGTGGCCTTTTTGGTGCAGTAGAAGCAACTGCACTGTTTGCCTTTCATGCTGTGGAGTCAGTGAGAGCCAAATATTGGTTGGAGCTAACTTGTTTCCTCTGTCAACTGCAGGATGCTGTGGTACTCGCAGGTCAGGATGTGACAGCACCCAGCCCTTTTTGGTGCAAGGGAAATGACCATGTGTATTTCTTTTTAAAACAGTGCATTTCTGAGACTGGAGGCCTCAGCTTTCTGGATCACAGAGAATGTCTATAATCCAGGATTTCTTTCAAGCTCATTCTCTCTACTATGTAGCAGGTTGGGATTTTTTTTTTTTTTTTTTTTTTTTTTTTTTTTTTTTTTGGTGCAGTGAGAAACAGCTCCACTTGTTTTGGATTTGGTTGACATAATGTAAGGGCTTTTGATCAAGAATGATCAGGATCCAGTTAAATCCAGGTTTTACATTTTCCCCTCTTAAGAGAGTAAGGCTTCGACATTTCCTGCCTGGGAAGTGGTGCAGTTTATCTTTAAGGAGGATAGAGAAATAAGAAATGAGTCTCACGTTGCATGGGTGACATCACTGGCTTTTGGCTCAGCGTTCTGTATGCTCGGTCTGTAGGCTTCGGCCAAGGCTGCAGGGCTCAGTGTTTGAACAAGGAAAGATTCCCAGGTGTACAGAAGATTGGATTTGCTATTATTTGGGTTAAAAACGGTGAAATGAGATTTCTAAAGCTTGGGGTCTCCAGCTCGCCTTCTGTTGCACTTGATCTCTACAAGATGGGTGAGTTATTCCCATTAAAGAGAAAGGGAGTGAAAATTTAAGGAGAAAAAGAATTATGTCTGAATGTATAACTACTGATGCCGGGGATACGATTCGTACGAAGCTGCTGAGCTAAAAAATCTCAGCTCCGACGAGGAGATCGGGCCATATGGCAGAGAAATGGTGCAGCCCGAAAGCTGTTGACAACAGTTAGGGGCTCCTCTCCCCGTGTAAGGTGTGTAGCTCCTCCGCCCCTCCGCCCCTCCGCCCCGGTTTGTTTTGGTTCGGTTTCCCCGACCTCCCTCCCCTCCCCGGTCCTCATCATCCTCTCCGCCAGCCGTAGTCCTGCCTGCCTTCATCTTGCAGATGGCTAACGTGCCGCCGTGTTAGGAAAACTGTGCACAACACATCCCAGCGCCGGGGACGGAGGAAGCTTTTCAGCTGCCGGCGGAAGGGGGGGCAGCAGCGTGTGTGTGTGTGTGTGCGTGGAAGAAGGATGCCGGGGCCGAGGGCAGCTCCCCGCGCTGCCTAGCGGGCGGTGCACGGCCGGCGGCGGCTCCTGCCGGGCTGCGGCTGCTCCCGCCCGGAGCCTCTGCCCGGCCCGGGGCCGGGGGCTGCTGGGGCACTGCCCGAGCGCGCCGGGGAAGGAAGGCAGCGCGACATTCGGCTGCCTGGATGACAGCGCCTACGACAAAAGCGGGAGAGTGAATGGCAAGGCTGGCAGAGAGAAGCCGAGGTGTCTCCGAAGCCAAGATGCCAGTGGCTGTCAGCGCAGTCTGCTGAAGGAGAGACCCGTGCGTGCCCGCTTTCCCAGAGCCAGCCGGGGTGGGGATGTTTTAACCACGATTTCAAACAGCAGCAGCAGCAGCGGCAGCAGCAACAACAACAGATTGCTCCCCCCCTCTCGCTCCCTCCCTTTCGACCCCGCTTTAAACCCAAGCAAGTGACCGACCGTCCAGACGATGATGCTCTTGCTGAGCCACTGACAAAGAAAAAGCAAGTCACCCATTCCTGACATCGGGACAACTGGCTGCTTGCAGCTTGCAAGTGGGAGATGTCAGGCTGTTGAACTTTTCTGTCCTGTGATGATGCTGTAGTGAGGTTGCTGATCTGAAAGCCATCTCTTCTGCATTTCTGAGTGGGCCAGATTGAAAGAGATTAATGGACTGATCAGCCATCAGGTTTCTGCAGGGGGATTCATCTCTTCAGCCCCTGTCACTCGGGTGCTCGCAGTGAGGGGGTCACTGGTGAGAGGCTGTGTTTCTCCTCACCGCGTCTGCTCTGCAGAGGAGAAGAGGCAGATGAGACCCCAAGATTGCCTCCAGGGCAGAACTTTGTAGTGCTCTCAGCATCCCTCTGCAGCGTGGATGTGAGCCACGGGAGTTGGGGATGTTTGAGGCAGTCTGTGCCAAGTGACACCTAGCAGCTGCTCTGGTGGGTTTTGCGTGGTCTCACCCCCAACGGCTTTGCCTGTTGTGAAGATGTCCATGGTGTTTCTGTGAAGCTGAGGCATGGCTGCTGGAAGGTTACTGCTCTATGCTGGCCTCTCTTTAGCTCTGTGTGCCCTTGGCATGCTGGCTGTGGCAATCTGCTCTGACCATTGGTACGAAACTGATGCCAGGAAGCACAGAGAGAGGTGCAAGAGCATCACCACTAAGAGAAATGATCCTGGCTTCATTTATAACTCCAACAACAACCTGCCTCTCAGGGCCAGCAGGTCTAGGTTGGACCGCTGGGAAGGGAAACTCCTCTTGGCAAGAAACAGGAGGCAGATCTTTGCTATGAGCGCAGTCGACGAGTGCAACAGACAGTACAACTCCACCAATATGGGGCTCTGGAGGAAATGCCACCGACAAGGATTCGACCAGGAGCTGGAGGAGCTGATTGCCAAAGGTAAGGGCTGTTTTGTTTTTCTACCAGATGAATGTGCCAAGCTCTCCTGAGATGAGCAGGGGCTGAGCAGAGCCATTTGGGCTCACAGATGGGAGCTGGCATCTCTAGCCAAATACCTCTCATTGCAATGGGTGAACTGGCCTTGCTGGGCATTGCTTCCAGAAGCACTGCCAGGGCAATTTCCCACAGGATCTCTACTCCCGAGACATGGGGTTTGGGAGCAAGAAGGCACTGAGGGTGAGAACACACATGCCCCAGAATATCTTTTTCATGCCTCTCTCTCTAGTCTGGATATAGTCTTCCCATCACCATGGTATCAGATTATTTCCACACACAAATAAGAGGCATTCATAAAGGAGACACTGGATTTTTAAATTTTTTTTTTTCAGTTTGTTTGACCCTGGTGGCTTGGGCAAAGTACATAATATTTTATTGGAGGCTACACATGTCTGTGTTTCATCACTGCCTTTCTGAATGCCCTATCCATCCTGAAATACACCATTTGCAGTGCTCACATGTAGGCTTTTTCTATCCTCAAATGGAGAGTAAACAAAGAGAAATGCTAAAGAGCAGGAGGAGACCCAGCTTGCTGTTTACACTGAGCTATGCTTTGGAATATTTTCAATATCTACAAAACATTACATGAATTTATTAGAAAGGAATAATTTTCTCTTGGGGTGGAGATGCATCTGTTTGCCTGTAGCATTTTTGTGCTATTTTTTTTTTTCTAGTCCTTTGGTCCTTTGTCTTAATTTTTCCCCCAGGGTAGTGATTCAAGATGATGGTCACTTTGCCCCAAATGTTTCTTTGATCTAAAGTACAGGAAGGGGCCACATGCACAAACCCCTACCTAAACAGAAGAGGCATGTTTTTGCAGGATGATGAGGGTTTCAGTAAAGGATGATGGCATCTTTGCTACCCACAGCATGGTTACTCTGTACTACAAAATAACATTTCCCTCCCATGGTTCTTCTGTTGCAATCAGAAGATTCCCCATTGGTTTATTTCTATTGTAGTGAAATCATTGCTTCTCACACAGCGCCATCTTCCAAAATACTTGTCTTCCAAGAGTGTTCTCTATCCCAAACTCTTTTGATAGCCTTCATTAATTCCCTCCTCAGACATTACAAGTGGAATTATTGCTTAAAGCTACTTTTTCAGGAGGGGTGTTCTCCCACATTTGCCCATGTGCATGTTTTGTTCCACATGTTTTATGAGTGAGCACTGGATGTGAGTAGCATGGTAGAAACTTGTACCAAACCAGTCCATGCAGGTGGTATACCTGGATCACTGCTTGGGATCCTGCCTGTGTTTCTGTGGACCCTTCATATCCAGCTGCTGTTTAACAACTCCTAGGAAATAGATTGGTGTCTTCAGCCCCATTTGTAAAGGGTAGGTGGACATGTCAAAAGCCTGTCAGCACCCAGACACCCTGCTTCTGGTTTCAGTGCCAAGGGAGTGATTCCTATTCTCCATCTAGGTGAGGATGTATGTGCTGGGCTAGCCGTGGTGAGCTGGATTGCTCTGCCACATGTGCTCACTGTGCTTGGGGCATAAACAAATTCAACCTTGACAGCGGGCAAACATGTCAACACAGCTCACCTTTGCAAATGCAGTTGTGGTTATTAGAGAGGATTTTCAGCCTGAAATAAGTGAGACTCTTTCCTCTTTCTCTATCTGCCTTGTCCTGGGAGCAGGAATGTCCATTTCTCCTGCCAGAAACAGCTGAAATTGCATGGCGCAGGGTTATGTGTAATGGCAGCTCTGCTAAATGTTACCTTAGGAAGAATGTGACAAAGCAAGATGAGGTGGTTACATGCAGGAGAAGGTGGTGTTTGGAAGACCTTGCTGTAGTCTGCTTGTGTTCATGTATGTGGGAATGAGTGTGTGTGAGTGTGTGGAGTAAACTAACTGTAAACACACAGCACCCAGCTGGTAGCCAGGGATTCCCTGGGCCCAGGTGCAGTGAATATCCCTGCACACACACTCCTGCATAGGTGTGTCTGCAGATGGCCAGGGAGCCCCTTGGCAAAGTCACTGCCCCAGGTCAGGTGTGCGACTTGTGCACGTAAAAGGAGCTGTGTGCAAATATCTGGGTGTGTCACTCCTTGTCTGCTCTAAATGTTTTCTGATACACTTCTAACAAACTTCATTGTAGGATGAGAGAATTGTTCAAGGAGGGAGACTTGTAACATCAAACAGCAGCATTTTAGTTCATTTGATGGCCCTTCTGGAGTGAGGATCTGTCTATGCTATAGCTCTCAGCCATGAGGAAGAGTAACCCATAAATACTATAGAGGTATAGCACACACACACACACACACACACACACAAACACACACATATATATATATATATATATATATGCTTTGGCACCTCTAGACTGAAACACAGAAGAAACAAGTATAATGGCAATTCAATAAAATAAAGTGTTTGACTTGCTCAGAAATAGAAATGGAGATGTTTCCTTTTTGACCCCTACTTATATGATGAAAGTGAAGTAAGCATTACTGCTGTCCAATGTTGAGAAGAGCTGTGAGCTCAAAACTCAAAACAAGGCAGGTATTCCTGGTACATCCCAACAGGATATATCATGAAGGTAAAAACTAAAAGTAGCTCTCACTTCTATGACAGATACTTTTTTGGGAGTTAGGAGTTGCAGGGATGGGTGGGTGGACAGTGTATGTCGTGTGCAGGTGTGAGGGGCTGCAGATATTCCCTGTGTGTAGTGTTCAAATAACCTGACTGGGGCACATATCCTTGCACACATGAAATCACTCTCTATGAGATCCAGGGCAAATACCTTATAAAAGAGGATGTGCATACAGCTTTAACTCTTATTCCCTTGTTAATGTAATGTAATGTAATTTAATGTATTGTTAATGTAATTTAATGTAATACACCTCTTCGTGTGTGGGATAAACTAATGCAGGTTCTGGCCTCAAATATGGTGTGTGATGTTATATATAATTGAATGTAAATTTTATTAAATGTTTTGGTTTTTTGTTTGTTTGCTTTTAAAGCTGGACAGGATCTGTGATCCATTTAGTTTAAAACAGATCCTACATTTTTCCCTAGGCAAAACTTCCAGTATTGAGAATGGTCTATTGAGATTTGTCTATCAAAGTATAACAAAAAATGGTCATTAAGAGCCTAACTAGCTTTGCAAATACCCTGCAGTTATTCTGCTTATGAACTCTGCTGAAATTAATACAAGCTATAGGCAATGGCTTGTGGCAGGATCAGGAGCTGTGGTACTTGGCAATATTCTGATACCAGTGATTTTAAAAAGCAGTTCTGTTCCTGAATAGGTTGGGTCACTTCTATAATTCTATTTTGTATTTATTAATTTTTACTTTCTGGGAAATAAGACATTTATGTTGGATTTTGCTAGAAAAACTGGAGATGTGTTGCTTCAGGTTTCTTATATATAGGTATAATTGATAGCAATAAATATACAAAATAGCTGATCCTGTTTTTATTTCTCCTATACTTTTTTTTTGTATTTTCATAGAACCCATGTGCATATTTCAAAATAATACAATTAGGTAAATAGGCAGTGAATTAAAAGAGATTGTTACAAGTAAGAATACTCAGGGAGAGGCAGACTAGCATGAGACTAAAGACTTGAGGAGTATTCTAAAGCTGCAACAAAATTAGGCAGTTCATTTCTTCTCTTTGACATCATGAAAAAAAATCCAATCAGAAACAACAGAAATTACAATCAGTAAAGAAATTATTGGAGTTGAACACACAAACTGTCTTGCTAACTTTTCCTCTGCTGAATAATCTATATTTCTAGGAATGGAGTGCTTGGACTGAGGGAAAGCAGTCTGATACAGAGGGACCAGTGAAAAAGAAAGAGCTAACAGAACTGTTCCTCTGATTCTGCTTTCACATCTGATTGAGCCTTTTAGCATCTCGGGACTAGAGTTTCACTCCTGATCCCTAAAGCCTTGCAGAGTCAGGAAATGCTGGCTCTGGGGTTGTTCAGCACAATATTCTAAAACCCTTCCAATTTTCAGGTGTTTGTCCAGTCTCCTTCACAAACCGAATAGCCTTGCTGCTGGAGGCCCCTTTGAGCATAGAGCTCACCCTGTCCTATCAGATCCACTGTTTGCCTGTTTGCCTGTTTACCAGGGAGTTTCTAGCAAAAGCAGCAATCCCTCACCCAAGCAACAACTCTGAGTCAGCCAACCAACTCCAGGACTAAGCAAGCAGAGAGCTGGAATGTAGGTGAGTGTCTGGGAGAAGGCAGAGTTGTGTCTTGCTTTGGCAACCAGCATCTCACAACTCCTTGTATACCACTTGTAGTGAGCCAGAAAAAAAATGGGGAGCCACAGAGTCTGCCTGCATCCTACGCCAATGCTGCTCAGATACTTTCCTGCAGTAGTTGAGAGGAAAACAAGAAAGGAAAAAAGGGAATTACATCATTTAATTATAAAGGTACAATAAAGTAGATGAAGAAGTTGCACATAACCAGAGTCTGTTCCATTTAGACAATTACTACTCAGAGGACCTTTCATCTCGCCTTTGGAAGGCTGCCAGTTAAACCTGACTGTATGGGGTTCTGCTGCCTGCCATTGGAATCCAATTTTTATTTAAAAATCTCCAGAATTTACAATGACCTTATTATTTCAACCCTCCTTTTACCTTATTTCTTTTTTTCTTTGGAAGTCATAGTAAATCCTATTTTTAAAACATTTTATTGTGAGTATACTTAGCCCATGCCACCACTGGAAAAAAAACCCCAATCCCTAAGTAATGCATGTGCAGCCTACCTCCACCTGAAATAATATGCAAGATTTCTGGGATGAAAGCATTCTCTGGTTTGGTTTGTCAGATGCAGGGCATAACTGAGGAAGAAAGTCTTAACAGGACTATTCCAGCCGTCACTAGGGATTATTTGTACACAAATGGAAAGAGGCTACTGAGAGAGGCTACTTGCAGCTATATCTAGCTGCAAAGAGCAAATAGATTTATTTTTGTAAAAATACTTT